ACGTATATATATATATATATCTCTGCGAATTTATAATAATAAAAAAAGGAATAAAGTTTATTTACTTTAGGATCACGAAAATATTTGTCACGGGTAGATAAAATGGAAGAAAAACTTTGAGAAATTTTCAATATGAATAATTGTAATAGAAAAACAAAACAAAGAAATAAATAAAATCGTGAAATGAATTTTAATTCATTTGTCGATTGATCATTATTAAGTTCATTGTCATAATTCCTTATCACATATCTCTTTTTTTTTACTAATTGTATTATTGAATTAAGTATAAAAAAATAATTCAAGAATTTTACTTACGTAGCTAGGTTTCCTAACGTCGTAACCGCACTGCTTGTTTTTTATAATTTCCTACGAAATAATAACAATGATAAAAGTATTATATATATATATATATATATATATATTTTCAATTTTTCAAAGTAATAGAAAGAAAAAACAAAAAAAAAAAAATAAAAATAACGTAACAATATATTATTTTAACGTTGGGTCATATAAATATCGATGATAAAAATTAAATAAAAATGTGAGTAGAAAAATAAATTAAATAAAAAATGATCGATTTGGAAAAAAAAAACATTGGCAAATATCTGAATAATTAAATATAAAAAATATTATAAAATAAATAAATAAAACTGTTTAACATTTTCAAAAAAGGGTAGAAGAAAATTGAATGTACTAAGAAGATAGAAAAAAATATATTTAAAAAAAAAGAAAAAAAAGTAGAGAACAAAAGAATAAAAAATTTTACGTACGTTTGGTTTCCTTTTGCAGCAACTGAAAGGCACACCGCAAGCTTCCCTTGAACCGATGTCACTCGACGAACAATTGAAATAATTATTACGATCCCAATCCTTTGGACCCTCGATACCACAACATTGTAACTAAAAGAAAAAAAAAATAAGTAAAAAGAGAAAAATGGAATAAGGGTTGGAGAAATAATTAATGAGTGCATTTTGTTTTGTCTACGAATAAAAGAATTATTAATATCGATATTCGATCAAACGCAAAAGTAAAAAATAAAAATAATTCATAGCAATGAGAGAGAGATAAAAAACGTGGATAAAGGAAACGGGTAAAAAGAAACAAAAAGAAAAATGGTTAAGTTCGATGAACTTTTATAAATAATTTTTACCTTGTGTGTGAAATCGGAGATATGGTTGGTTGCGATATTAAATGTATAAGACAAATAAATGAAAATAAAATATAAGGATGGAATGAATTCTTTAGGGATGGTGGTAGTGGTGGTGGTGGTGGTGGAGGATAGGGGGGGGGATGATTGGAGGTAACAAAAGAACGAGTAAGGGAGAATAAATATAGAAGGGAAAAAACAATAAATACAAATAAATTAAAATAAAATCGAATAATTAAATGAAAATACAATTATATATATGTATATATTTAGAAAATCGATACTAATAGAAAAAGATGAATTATTTATCTAATTTTGTAATTATCTAATAATTATTTATAAATAATTGAAATATTTTTAACGAGATATTTTTCACAATTGAAATAAATAATAGATATAACACAAATAAAATAAGAAATATATGTTACATTTAGAAAAAGTAATTCTATTTATTTGTGATCAATAAATTGTCAAATTAATTTTGTATAAAAAGTATTTTGAATTATTTAAGAATAAATGAAAAATCAAGGTAGTCATCAGAATTAGAAAATACATATTAATATTTAATATTAATATAATTATATGTATTATACGTTAACAAAATATTGAGATTAATAAATAATAAATTTAAAAGAAACACAAAATTATTTTGTTAAATCTTTCGAAATAACGAATCGGATAATAAAATAAATTTGGTTAACTCGGTTGGGAAGGGTGATTTTTATTTATTTTTATTAAACGTTTGAGAAAATTGATTTAAACCATCTTTTTGTTTTCTTTTAATTGTTTCACTTTTTTTCCTTTCCTTTCTTTCTTTCTTTCCTTATCGTCGTCTGTCTTTATTCATTTTAATAGTTTCAAAGTTTTCTGTTTGTACGCATTACTATGCTAACGTAACTGATTTAATCGTAAAAGCAGAAGCTTTGAGAGCCCACCATACGCCACTTGCAATATGGCCCTTCCTACCATTACAGTTCTTACTCGAATTTGCATTCCTTTGCGATTAATATGCATTCGTCCATCTCACTCTCTCTTTCACTTTCTCGTCATTTCATTTCTCTTTCATCTCATGAGAAAAAAAAGAAGAAAAAGAAAAAAGAAAGAAGCTCGTTTGGACTTTAACTACAAATTTCCCTTAAACTTTTAGAATATTATTTTATATAATATATATTTTGTTTTACAAATATTTGTATTTTTAT